GAGGTGATCCCGAAACAACGCGGGGCGTCCATACGGGACGAGCCGTAGCGGAGTCCCTTAGTGCCGGACTCCTCAAGAGAGGATCGGAAAGTTGGGCGCGAGGCCGACACGACGACGCAGGCAGGCCAGGTGTCGGTGCGTCGGCGGTGGCTCACTCCTGCGTCCTACTCCTGGTCGCGGCACCCCTCGCTTTTCCTCTCCCCTACCCCTGCGGCACTTGGAGCCGGACCGGAGCCACCCTCAACCGAAAGCTACGCAATTTGATGGCTCCGCGTGCCGTCGAACGCCGAACTACGGTAACTTCACCCCGCGATAACCACAATCCGTAGTCCATCATTCCACATCCACCATTCTTCCTTATCTGATCATCATTTATCCAGCGTCATCCTTCCTTTTTTTCCGTGCAATCAATAACGGCCACTTATTTCCACCGCCCCCTCGCTCCACCGTGACAAGTATGCCTCACCCCCCCCCCCCCCCCNCGTACCACGGCCTCAGCAAAATTTTAGCATAGGGAGCACGGTTTGGATGGGGAGAGTATGTAATCACCTAAAAATTATGTTCGTTTATAAAACGCATTTTTACGTCCAAACACGAAGTAACACAAGCTGTGGTTTAGTTTTTCTTTTGTCACTTTTCTCTGTGTCAAATCTACCAAATCTTTGTGTTGAAGTGACTAAATCTTTGTGTGAAAGATCTGCATCCTCGTTAAAAATTACACAGGAGACCTCAGGATCAAACATACAGGGTTATCCAAAAGTCACCTACCACCCCTGTAACTTTTTTCCTAATTGAGATAGAGGTTTGGAACTTTGGCAATGTTCCTCGGTCTAAAGTAGCAACTTTTCGGTTCCCTCAAAATTTTGGGCGGCCGCCCCCCCCCCCAAGGGGGCGGAAGATACCTTTTCTTTCAAATAGCAACCCCCCTTTTGTGATACCTCATTCGAAAGATAATTAAAAAAGAAAAATTTTCACGCAAACCGCAGATCAAAATGTTGATTTTTGACAAAATGGCGGCCGGTCAAAGTTCAAAATGGCGGCAATCTGACATCTCCGTTGTTTATTGACAGTTTGGCGTTAAACTCAAAATCTTAGGGTTTATCGATACGAGAAAAACGATTCTGGCATTGGTTTTCCAGAAAAATCAGTCCTTTACAAAATGGCGGCTTCGAGCGGGAAGTGAATATTTAGGCTGCTTATCGTTGGATTTGTATGAAACCTGGTATCCGAGGGTATTTTGGCACGAAAGAACGAATCTTTCATTGGATTTTTGAAATTTCGAAAAACTTTAAAATGGTAGCGAAAAATGACGGGAAATCCATACCACGGCTGTTTACCGATGGATTTGCACCATAGTCGATACTCTAGTGGTTTTTTGCTTACTGTGGTGGGTCGGCTAGCTAAAAACCACTAGTATTGACTTTCGTGCAAATCCATCGGTAAATAGCCGTGATATGGATTTCCCGTCATTTTTTCGCTACCATTTTAAAGTTTTTCGAAATTTCAAAAATCCAATGAAAGATTTGTTCTTCTCATGCCAAAATACCCCCGGATACCAAGTTTCTTACAGATCCAACGATAAGCAGCCTAAATATTCACTTTCCGATCTAAGACGCCATGTTGAAACTGGAAAACCAATGCCAGAATCGTTTTTCTCGTATCGATAAACCCTAAGATTTTGAGTTTAACGCCAAACTGTCAATAAACAACGGAGACGTCAGATTTTCGCCATTTTGAACTTTGACCGGCCGCCATTTTGTCAAAAATCAACATTTTGATCTGCGGTTTGCGTGAAAATTTTTCTTTTTTAATTATCTTTCGAATGAGGTATCACAAAAGGGGGGTTGCTATTTGAAAGAAAAGGTAGCTTCCGCCCCCTTGGGGGGGGGGCCGCCCAAAATTTTGAGGGGACCAAAAAGTTGCTTCTTTAGACTGAGGAACATTGCCAAAGTTTCAAACTTCTATCTCAATTAGGAAAAAAGTTACAGGGGTGGTAGGTGACTTTTGGATAACCTTGTATAGAACCCATCGGTGATAGTTCAATCCGTTAGCCACTAGCAAGTCGAAACTTCTGGTTATCAGGACGGAAAACAAGAGTACATCAGTTCCGCGCAAGACACTCTCTTGATATCCCGATATCTCAGAGTAATATACGGTCTGGGTCGATTGAATAGAAAAGTGTGTCAGCAAGCAAGTCCTTTGTTTTGATCTGACACAACAAAGTAACACCAAGTGACACAAAGTATCACCGAACTTTTAACTGGGGACCGTTTTCGTATGAAACCGAAAGACGACTTTATTGAGTCGAAAAGTCGCAAAAGTCGTAAATTCAGTTACCATTATAAGCAAACGCTCGTGCGGGAAAGTAACACGTTATACTTTTCCAGAACGAAACCCGAGCTTTCAGATTGGTCACTGAAGTTTTGCCCTAATATCAAGTCTTCTCGAGAAAAATGGAAAACATTGCGGAAAAGTCAAAATTCTGAGCAATTTTGGGGAGGGGGGGGTTTCAGGGGGGCTTGCTACCCCCCACCACGATAGAATTCGCGAAGACAAAAACATCTTATCCTACCTACTAGTCGAGAGCTTCAAGAAAATTAACATCTTCAAAATTTCCTCGGGGTGGGGGGGGGGAGGGTTACTTCTTGCTGGCCCACGGTCTTTTGGGTTGGTTGCATTGACCAAATTTTTGGGTCGAAAATTTGAAATCTCGCTTAAGATAGGTGCGAGCCGTCAGGATCAACACTTTGGTGATTGTTTAATACCCCAAAACTTGCAAGAGGCAACCTCTGAGCGGCATCGAGAGAAAAATGAGCACATCAAATCAGCAGGATATTTTCTTCATCTCCAGACGTCGTTATTTCCCGCAACCGCACAAAGGAACGTAACTCCATTCCAAGGCTGTCAAATTGACTCAAACAATTAATTTATTTTACAGAAATGTACCGGTGCAATCACTATTCAAAATTGCCCTGATTTTTGCAAGGTTTCCGAGGAAAAATCAGTGAAATTTTGCATCAGAA